TACAGCATGTGCTGAGTGATCAGATAACAGCCTAATGACTGATCTATGCAAGATGAAAGTTACAGAAGAAAATAAAAAAAATATCGATGCCTGTGTATTACGTGAGAACAGTAATCACTGATAGGTGGCAGGATCAGTCATATTTTCCATTTCTGTCAGGGTATGCAAACTTTTGAGCACAACTCTGTAATAGTGTTTATAGAAGAGAATCAGCAGCTTTAAAATAATCCAATTTTGTTGCTTTGCAGCCTGAAATAGACAGTTTTTGTATTATCCAGCTGTATTTACTTAAGTGCAACTTAGAACATCCAAGATAACACCATGTCAGGGGAAAAAAAAAAAAAATTCTTTAAAAACAGAATCACTGAGTTGGAAAAAGGATCACCTCCCTAACAATGACTTGTAAAACTCAATCAGGTGAAACTGATCATCATCCCAAAAGGCGATTTTCAACTGTGATCAGCTGTAGTCATTTTTCTTAGCTCAGCATGAAAAGAGCTTTCCTGGAGAATTTCAGTCCCAGTAGTGCAACTGAAGCAAACAAGTATGGATAACAAGGCACTGTCAAAAGATTTCCAGGATAAAGTTGTGAACAGGTACAATTCAGGAGATGGTCTGGTATTAAGACATGGAAGGTATTTGGTACAACATAGACCCTACCTGGATCAGGATGTTGCTTCAAACTGGATGATAGACCCAGGAGGAAATTGCCCAGAGAGGCTACCACGAGGCCTACAGCAGCTCTGAAGCAGTTGCAAGAATTAATGACAAAAAGTGGTCATCATGTGCATGTGACAACAATATCACAAATTTTCCACAAATGTGGCATGTGTGAGACGGCTGCAAGCTAAAAGCCACTCCTCAAGCAAGGCCACATGCAATCATGACTGAGCTTTGCTAAAATGCACCAGAAGATTCTGAGACCACATGGATAAAGGTGTTCTGGTCTGATGAGACTAAAATTGAAGTATTTGGCCTCAACACTAAACAAATATGTCTGGTGGAAATCCAATACAGCTCAATAGTCAGATAACACCATTCTTACAGTAAAGTATGGAAGTGGTAATAACCTGTTATGGGGGAGGGGGTTCTCTGCTGCAAGGAACTGGAGCACTTGTCAGGATAGAAGGAAAAATGGATAGGGCAAAACACCTTGTCAAATTCTTCAGGGAAATCTGCTGCTCTCTGCCAGAAAGTTCTCAAGGGGGAAGAAGGTTTACCTTCCAACATGACAATTACCCAAAGCAGTATATATGACAGTGTTATTAACAAATGTTCCAAAGCAAATTATAATCATATAGATACCCAATTATTGTAAAATAAATCCACTACCAATATAAAGTCCACTATGATTTTTATGTAAATACTGTAATTACTATGTAATACTATGTAATGTCCCATCAATAACTCCAACGGTGTTCAAAATTAGTCCACCTCAAAAAAAAGAAAACTCATATAGTGCATTAACCTTTATCAAATAAACTTTATCTATGTTTCCTCCAGTGAAAATAAGTAAAAGTTGTGAAAAAACGTGAACCACACGTGATCAGTGAAAAACCACTTCAATGTGCATAACACTATTTCAGTGCCACATCACAGAAAACTCCAATATAAAAGGGTGTATCCACTTCTAAAAGCAGTGAGGATACCCTTACCAACTTCCCAATATAATGGGCTTTGTAGTCATCCAGGAAATCCACTCAGGAACCTCTGCTGTATCACGCAGCCACCCCACTCTCTGGATTCCTTAGACACTTTGCTCCCAGTGTCACCACAAAAAAACACAGGACATAGTGTGATACCGCCAATAAAAATAAGTAACATACACTTTATTAAAACTGCTCACATTGCCAAAGCTTTTAACCGCATTAGAGGGAGTACAGAAGGTATAGGAATCTCACGGTCATCCAGGGAGACACGTCCCGTTGCTCCTGCTCGATCTCTCCCTTATCAGAAATGGCCGCCAGGTAACTTCCGGTTTCCGGGAAAACGTCTCGACGTCACTCCACCTTGACGCGTTTCGTCATCGACTTAGTCAAGGTGGAGTGACGTCGAGACGTTTTCCTTCTGTACTCCCTCTAATGCGGTTAAAAAGCTTTGGCAATGTGAGCAGTTTTAATAAAGTGTATGTTACTTATTTTATTGGCGGTATCACACTATGTCCTGTGTTTTTTTGTGGTGACACTGGGAGCAAAGTGTCTAAGGAATCCAGAGAGTGGGGTGGCTGCGTGATACAGCAGAGGTTCCTGAGTGGATTTCCTGGATGACTACAAAGCCCATTATATTGGGAAGTTGGTAAGGGTATCCTCACTGCTTTTAGAAGTGGATACACCCCTTTTATATTGGAGTTTTCTGTGATGTGGCACTGAAATAGTGTTATGCACATTGAAGTGGTTTTTCACTGATCACGTGTGGTTCACGTTTTTTTCACAACTTTTACTTATTTTCACTGGAGGAAACATAGATAAAGTTTATTTGATAAAGGTTAATGCACTATATGAGTTTTCTTTTTTTTGAGGTGGACTAATTTTGAACACCGTTGGAGTTATTGATGGGACATTTTGCGTATTTACATAAAAATCATAGTGGACTTTATATTGGTAGTGGATTTATTTTACAATAATTGGGTATCTATATGATTATAATTTGCTTTGGAACATTTGTTAACACTGTCATATATACAGTTTGGTACACCTTCAGGGGAAGGTGTTGTTTGTGTTATAGGGCAATTATAGTAGGATAGGAGGTGGTTGATTTCTAATTAATTACCCAAAGCACACAGCAAAAAATGACCGCACAGTAGTTGAAGAAAAAAAAAGTGAATGTCCTTGCATGGCCTTGTCAGAGTCCAGACTTAAACCCCACTGAAAATCTGTGGAATGACTTGAAGACTGCAGTCCACAAATGGTCACTATCAAATTTCACTGAACTTGAGCAGTTCTACAAAGAAGAGTGGGCAAATATTGCAAAGTCTAGATGTGCAAAGTTAATAGAGACATATCACAACAGACTAAAGGCTGGAATTAAAGCAAAAGGTGGTTCAACACAATACTGACACAAGGGGGTGATCATTTTTCCAACTCAGTGGTTCAGTTTTTTAATTTTCTTTTTATTCTGACATGTTGATGTTCTGTCACTTGGATGCTGAGTAAATACAGCTGCATGGAAAAAAAAAAACCAAAACAAACGACAGTCAGTCTTCATTGCAGCAAAGAAACAAAATGTGATTTTAAAGAGGGGTGATTCTTTTCTATACCCACTGTATAAAAACACACAACTCCATATAATATCCTAAAGCTAAAAACTCCAGCTATTGTCTTCATTGTATTGTTACACTGATCCAGCTTAGAGCAATGCAAGTATGCAAACCTCACATGCCCAGGGACCCACTGTGGAACCTGACAAATCAGCAGTAGTTGGTGCTAGTACAGTGACAGAGCAGTGATCTCCTGGGTCTTTTTGATAGCTGCCCCACTGCATGCTATCCACAGAGGTGGGGGCACAGGGCATTCTCCGTTTGGACAAGGACATCACATCTCATCAACCAGAGGACACCTTGTGTTCATTAATAAAAAAAAAAAATTACAAGGCATTCTGTGAAAAGTGAAGCTGAGCCCTCTGTGGTCACTATGCAGTGGGGCAGTCACCCAGCACAGGAACCAGAAGATAGCAATCAATGTAGTTACGCCAACTACTAGAGTAATTGGCAGCTTGCACAGTGGTCCATCATGTATGCAAGCTGAACCAATGTCACTATGCAATTAAGATCAATCGATTAATTGAATTCTCATTTTAGTTTAGGGAGTCTGAGTTGTCACATTCATGCCCTTTTGATATAATGCACTTGATCGTTTCTTTGACACAGTTATACTTGCCTTCATCCACAGTCCCTTTCCAGTCTTCTGATTTTCCTTGTTTTGCCAGCAGCTCCATCTCATCCTGATGACGTGGATGCTGCTTATTTGATTGATTAGTATTCAAACAGTACTGCATGGATTACAGTGACAGCATGAGGGGCCAGCAGCAAGACTGGCTTTACCGAAATGGGAATGACAGATGGTTAAGGCTGGTATAAGTAGGCCACTTTATTAAAAAATAAAATATTGGAGAGGGGTAAAAGCACTGTTCTTGACCTATGACTAGAGTTCAGCTTTTAGCTAGATATAACAACTTCACCAGCCGTGGTTTGTTAATTAATGCCAGAGACCTACATCTGCATTGTATAATCACAAAAAAAAAAAAAAAAAAAAAAACAACTTTTTTTTTGAACAAATAAAATGGGAAGAGGATCGTCAGATCTGTTTATTGAAGTAAACTATGTCACGGCCATAATAAAGCAAACTTTAGAGAGTAGTGCATGAATGGGTTTACATAAAAGACCCACTGCGTAACTGAACAAAAATATGTTCATTGGTCCCTCGAAATAAACACACACTAAAAAGGACAGGCACTTTTGTTCCTAGCTCACTTTTCATAGATGTCTACATATATACTGTAATTCCAGCATACTGTTTATATACATACATGTATTACCTGCTAAATGCAATACTGATGCAGACCAAGGCACACTGCACTTCATAATGTGATGACAACCCAGACCAGCATAACAAGATGCTTGGTGTGTTTGGCCTTAAGGAAGGTGCAGTTTTTATTGGTGCTTGTTTCACAGGATTAGGAATTTGTGTACACCACAGATCAGGTGTATATACATTACATATGAAAGCAACATGGATTATTGGAGCTTGGGTGAGAGTCTACAACTAAAAAGTAGCCAAAAGATAAAACAAACCTAGATTATTAAACCATTGTTTAAAATAACGTGTCCGTAAAATGCAAACAATCCTAGCAGATTATTTTGTGCATAAACAAGAAATATAAAATTGCACAGTGTCTAAAAATTGCAAAAACATGAGGGGAAAAAAAACAGTACCAAAATGATACTTCAAATAAATAGTTCATCATTTTGATGAATATATACAGGCATACAGTATCCCAGGTATTTAACTGTCCAATAGAGACATGTCACTGTCCAGAGTTGCAGGTGCAAGTTCACATAAATAGAACAAAGTAGCTTCATTAGCCTCAGCCTCAGTCAGGGGCTCTAGACGCACCAGTTTACTCTGTGTGGGCTCCGAATCCAGGCTAGATTCTAGAAAATTGTCCATATCATTTGCCTTGGCAGATGGGACCTCGGACGTGAAGCCTCCAGTGTCTCCATCCAGAAAAGCCATGAGTGGGTAGGATGTGTATTGTACAAGCTGTTGATCTACAAATAAACCACACACAATTAGGAACATTTTAAAATGACACAGTTATTAAAATAATACTTTTAATAACTACCTATATCTTCATTTATGTTTACCACAACAAATGCTTAAAAGATGTGTGTCATCTTCCAACAGTTTTTTACTCATAGCATCCAAGAAGCTTGTTTAAAATGTTCCTTCCATGCAGACATTTATTATTTGCTTTGGGCAATACAGTTCTTTAACTATAAATGCAGGGCTTTCAATCAGGAATTGCTAAGTGGAGAATATACATTGCTAAAAAAAAAATTAAAAGGAACACTTTTAAAACACATCAGATCTCAATGGGGAAAATATCATGTTGGATATCTATACTGATATGGACTGGGTAATGTGTTAGAAACGTAAGGATGCCCCATCGTTTGATGGAAATTGAATTCAGTACTCTGTAGGTTGATAATTTTAAAGACACCCTGAAAATCAAAGTGGAAAAATGATGCAGCAGGCTGGTCCATTTTGCTGTAATTTCATTGCAGAAACTCAAAATGGTACTCAGTAGTTTGTATGGCCCCCATGTGCTTGTATGCATGCCTGACAATGTCAGGGCATGCTCCTAATGAGATGACAGATAGTGTCCTGGGGTATTTTCTCCCAGATCTTGACCAGGGCATCAATGAGCTCCTGGACAGTCTAAGGTGCAACCCAGCGGCGTAGGAGGACCAAAACAGAATATCCCAGAGGTGTTCTATTGGATTTAAGTCAGGCGAGCGTGGTGGCCATTCAATGGTATCAATTCCTTCATCCTCCAGGAACTGCCTGCATACTCTTGCCACATGAGGCTGGGCATTGTCATGCACCAGGAGGAACCCAGGACCCACTGCACCAGCATAGGGTCTGACAATGGGTCCAAGGATTTCATCCCGATACCCAATGGCAGTCAGGGTGCCATTGTCTAGCCTGCAAAGGTCTGTGCATCCCTCCCCAGACCATCACTGACATACCACCAAAACGGTCATGGTGAACAATGTTACAGGCAGCATCACGATCTCCACGGATTCACTAGACCCTTTCATGTCTATCACATGTGCTGAGGGTGAACCTGCTCTCATCTGTGAAAAGCACAGGGTGCCAATGGCAGACCTGCCAATTCTGGTGTTCAATGGCAAATGCCAATTGAGCTCTATAGTGCCAGGCAGTGAGCACAGGGCCCGCAGGCCACCCTCATGAAGTATGTTGCTTGATCAGAGACATTCACACCATTTTGTAGGGCTCTGGCAGTGTTCATCCTGTTCCTCCTTACACAAAGGAACAGATACCGGTCCTGCTGGTGGGTTAAGGACCTTCTAGGGCCCTGTCCAGCTCTCCTAGAGCAACTCAAAAGTAAAAAAAAAAAAAAAAAAACACCACCAGTGCTCAAATCTTCATGCTCCACAGTGAAACATGGTGTCTGTCACTTGCTGAGGTACAGCCCTCTGAAGATCGGAGAATCTCAACACTGACAAAAAGAAAAACACAAGAGGGTGCACTCTCCTCGTGCATTACCATGGTAAAATTTTTTTATTTATTTTAAAATAAGCGACAAGTGCATACTCACAAAAGGACCATAAAAACAGACATGGAACCAAATCTTTCAGTCCCAGACAACAGGGGTCCTGTGGAACAATTATCCGGTTGAAATAGCTGATGCGTTTTGGGAGACGGACTCCCTTCCTCAAAGCTTTGCACACCTGCACACTTATAACCCTTAGACCTAAATGGGCTGCTCCTCCAGGGTACATACCAAATATATGGAACATTTGTGTGCACGAAGCCTGTACTAGTTGACCAGCTAGACTGCAGGCAGCACAGGAGGCTGCAGCCTTCGAAGGCACTGAGTAAGGACCCTTGGGGGGGGTGGTGAGTGCCTACCCAGCTGCTTGTATTGAGGGGGCTTGATGGACTTTGTCCCAAACATGTACTTTATCAGAGTAAATTTGAGTTATAATAAAAGGTGTTATGGCTTAGATACTTCTGTCCTATCCTTGATTCCCTTTTAAGAAAGTGAACCAGGACATCTGATGCAAGTCACAGCACTGGAGCAAGTCGTCCTCACCTATCCCAACAGAACTCCTAAGTAGCACATGCACGCACACGCAGGGTCACACAATGAAGGACTTGGGAACAGGTCTGAAGGAATATTTTGGTAGAAGATGGAACTTGTAGGGGAGCTGGTAGGGGTGAGTCCTTATGGGTAAAATTTACAATAACAACCTTCAAATACACTATAGTTGTTCATTAACAAACCAAGTAACCTTAAATTTTTGAAGCCATTAAAAGAAAAAAAAATAAGGGACAAAGAAGGACTACAAGCCGTTTAAAACAAATTTATCAAGACAAACCTGATTTCACACCATCTGCATTGCAATTTGCTGGTCCTGGAAGAACGTCACTGTTTTTTGTCTCAATTCCTTTAGTTTCCAACTACATCAAAAGGAGAGAAATAAAATTATAAAAACCACAATCTTTAAAACAAAACAGGAATGCATGATATAAATATGAGAATACTACTTGCAAAGAGGTTGATTGTACCTTCCATCCGCAACAGAACCTCTTGATGCAAATAAGATTTGCATGAGAGGCCGTAAATAAAATCATAAAAAGGGATTACACTCTTGTGGTTCAACAATGTATGGAGTTGTTTCAATAGACAGTCAGCCATCGTTACTTCCAGGACATGTTGGAATCCAGGGTTGTCCAAGGATCAGAAGGGATGGCAAGGCTGAAGTAGGAACTTCCATTACGCTAAATAGAAGCTACTTGTCTACAAAGACAAGGCAAAATGTTTGAAGAGAGCACATTTATGTTTCAAACAAAGGATTCTGAACAATATGCAGGGACACAGAAGGGTTTGATAACAAAGAACATCATGGGCTAAGCCAATCTTGGCCCAGGCCTTAAAGTGTATAGGAGAGATTCTCTCATTTCCTGTCTAGCCGAGAGTGTTTTACCAGAAAGGGAGTAAGACAGCTCTCCAACAGCAACACTGACAGAAAAAAAAAAAAAAAAAAAAAAAGCAAACCTAGACTTTGAGAGAAGGATTCTGCCATCACTTCTAAAGTAAAAAAACAAAACAAAAAACAAACAAAAAGTTATGTGATCTGCAACGCCTCATCTACATACTCCTTCAAGACCAGTGAAGTATTTAAACCTATAGATGACCATGATGCCCAATCAACTAGTATTTTCAAACAGAGGTCTGCAAGAACTGTCTTCATATTTCTCTCAGCTTTAGGAAAAAAGTATTGCCAAAGCTATAATGGCAAGTGCTCAGCGGTCTTTGATTGCTTGGTTCTCAGTCTTAAACTCGATTCCTACTAGAGCGTGGTACAGAACCCCTCGACCTGTGCGTGTTTCCAGCACAGCGTTTAAAATGCACAGCTCTTGCAATCTGCAGTGGGTGTCAATGCAATGTTAATGACACCCCCAAATGCATGCTGCAAATGCAGTGCGTCTGCCTGCACCAGATCGTATGGTACAAAAACTACCACACAATCAGGTTGTTGTGCATTTCCAAAAGTAGTGCATGCACTATCTTGGTGCAATGCAAGGCTATCTGAGACCATTCAAAATGCGGGGAACAGATGAAGAGTTGGACCAATGCTGCATTCACCTATTCTTGAAAGCCTATACTTCTCTTTTAAACTTTTAGCTATCACAAAAATCATGGCCAGAAAATACGTATCAAGAGGATGCATCTTACAAACAATTCATGCTAGGTTTTACAAGGTACAATTCAATAAATGACAGGTCAGTTACCTGGATAAAAGGGGGGGGGGGGGGGGGGGGGGGGGGGGGGGGGGGGGGGGGGGGGGGGGTGGGGGGGGGGGGGTGGGGGGGGGGGGGGGGGGGGGGGGGGGGGGGGGGAGATGTGGCTAGGGCTATGCTACCATACAAAAATGGGTGAATATTGGTCGGGAACATTGATAAACAGACCACCTAATGGTGTCTCTGTATTATCAGTATGTTAAAGCGGTAGTAAACTGCGTAAAAAAAAAAGAAAATCCCCTGCAAGGTAAAGGCATAATGTGCTAGTATGCTGTTACCGCTGTAGAGGCTTCCCATCTTCACCTAGTCTTGCTTCCAGAGCTCACGAGCTCAGGCCATCTGACTGGCTGAGCCGTGGTGACATCACGGGACACGGCAGTGCTCTGAAAGAACAGCATGGTTATTTAGAGCGCAGCACTGCTATATGAAAAACCCGAAAATCTCCAAAACCGAGGAGATATTAATTTTACCTACAGGTAAGCTTTATTATGTAGGCAAAAAAGTAACAAAGTGACTTGACTAGCACTTTTAAGTATATGCGACACTTAGTGGAACCGAGTGGTGAGGGGTTAGAACCACTGTCAGTTTATACTGCTGTTTGGGCTCCCATTAGGGAGATTCACCCTCTCCCACTGTTATGATCACCAATGTCACAGACAGTGTATGAAAGTGAGAGGAAATGTAAAATTTTGAGTTGTGACCAGAACAGGAATAGAGGAGACATCTTACAACGGGACACGTTTTCCCATGACAACTGTCTAAGAGGAGATTTCTCCTCCATTGGAAACATATCCACTACTCCCTATTGGAACAAAGGTGGGAAAAAAAAGGGGGAGGGATGTACAGAAGATCTCATTACAGAGAACAATGTGCAAGCAGAAAATAAGCCCAATCAAATTTAAAATTAACTGAAATAGAAAAAATATCCACAGACACAAAATAAACCACTGTGGAATTGAAAAAGAAATAAATGGCTTCATACATCAACCAGGAGATCTCGGTCTATGCTGAACTGACGTCCAGACAACAATGCTTTGAAGTCTTCCAAAGTGCAGTCAATGCTGTCTAAATAATCCAACAATTCAACTCTGCAAAGTTAAAACAAAAGTTAGCTTTACATGGCTCTCTCCACAGTAGACAAAAATATCACACTAGACAAACCATATATTGTACTAACTTTCCAAGGAGATTAATATTTTGAGAAATAACACCGCTCTCATTAAGTATGGAATCCATCAGGTGACAGGGTCTTCTGCAGTAAGCGAGGACTGGTTATTAAGCTGAAGAGGACCAGACATCAGTGGGCTTGAGATGTCTTCTCGGACTGGGCTCAGTGAACCAATCATTTCTGAATGTCTAACTTCTGGCAGAATGGAGGCATCATCATCCTCAATATCATCCTCCACTATTACTATTTCAGGTGAAAGACGTTCACTGGGGGGGGGGGGGGGACACAAAAAACAAATGCGTTAAAATGCTGAACTCCTGGTATACACTTTATTGCATACTTATATAGGTGCAGTCTGGACTGAGGCTAGGGGCAGCCACTACTGTTGTGTCTCTGTAAGTTGTGTTTCTTTAAGGTAAAAAGAGTCATTTCAAATTAGAGCGCTGTCTTGAGAGAGAACTAAATAAATATGCTGTATGGTCAAAGGTTTGTGGACACCTTACCATAAGACCTATATGAGCTTCTTGATTATTGCTTTCCAAAACCATGGTCATGATTATGCAGCTGTCCTACCCTTTGTGGTGATAACAGTGTGCACTCTGTGAAGGCTTTCCAGAATCTGTAGGAATTTGTGCTCAGTCAAAAACCATTTGCCAAGTCAGGTAAATGTAGAGGACCTGGCCCACAATCAGGTTTCCAAGTCATCCCCAAAAGTGTTCAATGAGGTTAGAGTCTAGGCTTTGTACAGGTAGTTCAAATTAAACATCAGACTCAGCAAATCATGTCTTTATGGGCATATATCTATGAGGTACAGTCATTCTGGACTAAAAAGAACCATCCCCTAAACTGTTAACTAAAAGTTCTATGTATGTGGTAGTATTAAAAGTGTAAAAAGAAAAAAAAAAAAAAAAAAAAAAAAAAAAAAAAAAACACACCACACACTTGCACTCACATAGATAGCTGCAGCATTGATTTGAGTGAGCAGAGAAACTGAGCAAGCTGCCAGTCAGGCATCTTGGTGGATCCCGATAATATTGTTGGGATGCCTGCACCAACTCTGACGTCAGCTGACAGCTGGCTTTAACAGTACTCTTTGCTGGAAACAAATTGCAGGTGTGTGAAATTTGGTGTTATTGTTCTCACTCTCTCACACTGGTCACTGGAATTTCAAAATGGCAAAGAACTCTGAGGATCTGAAAAAAATGGTTGCTCTACATAAAAGGATGGCCTTGGCTATAAGAAGATTGCCAAGACCCTGAAACTGAGCTGCAGCACGGTGGCCAAGACAATACAGCGGTTTAACGGGACAAGTTTCACTCAGAATAGGCCTCGCCATGGTCGACCAAAGAAGTTCAGTGCACGTGCTCAGCGTCATATCCTGAGATTGTCTTTGGGAAGTAGATGCACGAGTGCTGCCAGCATTGCTGCAGAGGTTGAAGGGGTGGGTCAGCCTTTCAGTGCTCAGACCATATGCCACACACTGCATCAAATTGGTCTGCATGGCTGTCATCCCAGAAGGAAGCCTCTTCTAAAGATGATGCACAAGAAAGCCCACAGTTTGCTGAAGACAAGCAGACTAAGGACATGGATTATACGTGTGTCTTGCCTACAGACAAGCATGGTTGTGGGAGTGTCATGGTCTGGGGCTGCATGAGTGCTGCCAGCACTGGGGAGCTACAGTTCATTGAGGGAACCATGAATGCTAACATGTACTGTGACATACTGAAGCAGAGCATGATCCCCTCCCTTCGGAGACTGGGCCACAGGGCAGTATTCCAACATAAAACTACTCCCAAACCCACCTCCATGACAACCACTGCCTTGCTAAAGAAGCTGAGGGTAAAGGTGATGAACTGGCCAAGCATGTCTCCAGACCTAAACCCTATTGAGCATCTGTGGGGCATCCTCAAACGGAAGGTGGAGGAGCGCAAGTTCTCTAACATCCACCAGTTCTGTGATGTCGTCATGGAGGAGTGGAAGAGGACTCCAGTGGCAACCTGTGAAGCTCTGGTGAACTCCATGCCCAAGAGGGTTAAGGCAGTGCTGGAAAATAATGGTGGCCACACAAAATATTGACACTTTGGGCTCAATTTGTACATTTTCACTTGGGGGTGTACTCACTTTTGTTGCCAGTGGTTTAGACATTAATGGCTGTGTGTTGAGTTATTTTGAGGGGACAGCAAATTTACACTGTTATACAAGCTGTACACTCACTACTTTACATTGTAGCAAAGTGTAATTTCTTCAGTGTTGTCACATGAAAAATATATAATGAAATATTTACAAAAATGTGAGGGGTGTACTCACTTCTGTGAGATGCTGTATATAGCACAGTTTGCGCAGCACTTTACAAAATGAAGGCAGACATTACAGTTACAATACAATTTGGTACAAGAGAAATCGGAGGGCTCTGCTCGTTAGAGTTTACAATCTAGGAAGGGTCAAGTGATACAAAAAGGTAATAGCTGTGGGGGGATGAGCGGATGGAGAAAGTAAAAACAGTATTAATTAGATGCAGGATCCGCTTCTTTGAAGAGAAGGGTTTTCAGGGATTGTCCAAAAGGTGGATAGGTTAGGAGATAGTCAGACAGATTGGGGTAGGGAGTTCCATAGGATGGAAGTAGCTTAGGTGAAGTCCTGGAGGCGAGCTTGGGATTAGGTGACACGGAAAGTAGAGAGGAGGCCTCGGGAGGACTGAAGAGAGTGATTTGGTTGATATTTTGAGACTAGGTTAGTAATGTAGCTGGGAGCAGAGTTGTGGATGGCTTTTGTAAGTTGTTGTTAGTACTTTGAATTTTATTCATGGAACGAGTGGAAGCCAGTGGAGGGATTGGCAGAGAGGAGTGGAAGATACTGAACGGTTGGGTAAGGTGGATGAGTCTGGCAGAGTTCATGATGGACTGACGGGGGGATAGCCTATGTAAAAGTAATCCAATGAGGAGGAAGTTGTATTGTTCGAGGCAAGAGATAATCTGGGAGTGACATAGAAGCTTTGTGGTGTTATTGGTTAAAAAAAGGGCGAATTCTGGAGAAATTGCAGAGGTTGAGACGGTATGATTTGGACAGGGATTGGATGTGGGCCTGAAAGGATAGTTCAGAATCCAAGGTTACCCCTAGCACCCTGGTATGTGAGGACGGGTTGATAGTTGTGCCATTGATTTCGACAGAGGAATCAGGGGGAAGAGGATGATAATATGAGTTCAGTTTTGGACAGGCTGAGTTTGAGGAAGTGGTGTGATATCCAGTCTGATATGTCTGTTAGTAAATCACTGGTACGTGAGGAAACTGATGGGGTGAGCTGAGGGGGTAGAGAGATAGATTTGTGTGTCATCAACATATGCATGGTATTGGAAACCATGGGAGGGTTATCAGCTGACCTACGGAAGAGGTGTAGATGGAGAATAGGAGAGGTCCAAGGTAAGAACGATGAGGGACCCCGATGTTGAGAGGACTAGTAGAGGAGGAAGTAGAGTTGTAAGTGACACTGAAGGTGCGGTGAGATAGGTAAGATGCAAACCAATGGAGAGTACAGTCACGGAGACCAAGAAAAATTGTTTTTTTTTTTTTTTTTAGGGGGAGGTGGTCAACTGTATCAAAGGCAGCAGACAGGTCCAAGAGTAAGAGTACGGAATAGTAACGATTGGTTTTATGTCGTTTGTCAGTTTTTAGGAGAAGTTTCTGTGAAGTGCTGCGGGAAAAATCCAGACTATTGCAGAAAAGACATGCAATGTCTTATCTGCAATAAAAGAAACCTACCTGCCTGCTCACAATCTTCTGTGAAAATGTTCACTGAGCTGCGCTTCTACATTCTAGCATAGCATCTGTCTGCGGGGATGATTGCACTCTTGCACATGCACAGGAGATGTCATTCTGTGCCAGCAAATGAGAACCACCCCAAGGCCAGCTCCCAAAAAAGCTAAGCAGAAGCCAGAGCATTACGTCGGATCATTGAAGAAAGGCAAGTATTGTGGAGTTTAACTCTGCTTTAATTCAGTATTAAAAGCATTTAACAGTGTTGAAACTCAAAGCAAATTTTCACCTACTTCAGTGTGTCAGAATGATCACAATTTTCTTGCCCAAGTACATTTCTCTCTCCTTCTTCCTCTAGTTTGTCAGTTATATCATAAATTACTATATCATCAGAAATCTCTCCTCTGTTTAAGCCTTCTCCCCTATGGGTCATCTGCAAAGTATTTTGAAAAGTGAAGCTTTAATATATAATCATATTATTGATAAAAACAGATTGAGTGTTTGTATATGATATAAGCGAATATTACTTGGAAGCTGTGACATTTAAAGTGTGCAAACAAGTACAAACAATCTGGGTTTCATTTTCATACAGTAACATTTTTCCTATATCGCACTTTTTATAAGCTCTCAATAAGTGTAGCTTGACAATTCTTTAGTTCATCTAGATTAGAGATCTAGCACACAACATCGCAACCTCAAGCTGCTCTGTTTAGGACATCTATGGAAAAAAAAAAAAAAAAAAAAAGGAAGGATAGTGCAGCCTGAACATTAGAGGCTCCTAGACTGGACCAACTAGATTCTAAATTTTATAGGTGAAAGTAATATTTATTTCCACTGAGTGAAACCTGTCTTCTACAACATGCTGTTTTGCTCACCAATGGGTGAAAAGCATTTTAGAATCTGTTTACTTTTAAACTCATTGCAAACCTATAATGTTTAATTCATGCATCTTGAGCAAACTGTTCTCTTTATTGTGCCCACACTGCTACTTTAAAAAGAAGAACAGACTGTTGCTTTATAAAATGGAACCAGAGCCTTTAAAACATGCAGAAGCTCAGTTACACACACTACCAAATGTTAGAGAGATGTGGAGGTTTTGCAATGCAGACATCAAACATTCAACAGGTAGCCATTGTAAATATGCCATACTACAAAGAGTATTATCACTAATATGGCTCTGCAATCCAACAGTTCTACTACAGACAACCTGCACATAAAATGAAGATTTTACCAAGACTTACATGATGTTTGTCTTCAGTTTCTTTAACCATTGTCTGTAAAATGGTGGGTTTCGGTGAACTCTGCGTGTTGAGAAGTAAAGGCCTATAATAGAGAGGAAAAGCCTTTAGTAGTTTGTATACATCACAGACCTATCTTTAAAAAACCACACCACACACAACTTACTTTTTTCTCTTTAAACTCACTAATCGGTTATTCTGCACCAATGTCACAATGAACTGCACAATCTGGCATTGATAAATAAAAAAGAAGAGGGAGAGGGAGAGAGAATAGATTTGGTTTAACCTTGTATTTTTTTTTGTTGGCGTTAAAATTTAACAATGAACCAATGTCAAATCTATACTGCAATGTAATACAATAAATAAAAGATATTGGTGTTTTCTCTGTGTGCACATTTTTGAGTTCGTAAAATTTAGCAGTAAATCTTTGATGCACCATTTTACTGAATTGTATGCAAAGCAATACTGAATATCAATACAATTAAACTACCTCAACATATAATTACAAACAGTGACTATATACTGTACAAATAGCTGGGTGCTGTCCCTTCACACAGTTTTCAATGTAAATCTAAAAAGACACTTTGGATACAGAAAGGAAGGGTTTTGACCCTTGTAATTTTTTTTTTTTAATCTGCCTCCCATTGTGGAGATTTACCTTCACTTCCTGTTCCATAGCCAAAACAGGAAGCGAGAAATCTTTCTATATTGTGGGGAATCCCTGGTTGTTAGCAGAGCTAGTGTCCACATTGGATGATTTTCCCTCTATTTATGATCTAGGGACAACCCAAAATTTGGGATTTTCTTTTACTTTCGGAAAAAACAAAAAGTGATTATAAAAAATTATAAAAATGATAAAATATTAAAATATAAAATATAATACAGGTTTTGCCTTTGGTTATACTTTAAGTCTTATGCAGGCCATAGACGGGTCAAAAATCGGCCTAAAAAAAAAAAAAAAAAAAAAAAAAAAAAAAAAGCCCGATTTATGGGGTTTTGGCACTTTGTTTTTTAATCGGTAAAGTTGGGAAAAAAAAAAAAAAAATCAGCCGATTTCCACAGCAATGATAGGCAAATCGGCCAATCGTTTTACCGATAAAAAAATCTGCGCATGAGCCGTGACCTAAAAGAAGAAAAAGGAAAAAAAAAAAAAAAAAAAAAAAAAGAAGAAAAGAAAGGAAAAAGAAAAAGGAAAAAGAAAAAGAAAAGAAAAAAAAAAGAAAGAAGAATTCCAGTCCGCTATTATATTTTATATGAAAAGTATTGCGGTTGCAACAATGTATCTATTTGTATCCAAATAAAAACCATCTGTATCAGAAATGGATACATTGTTGCAACCGCAATACTTTTTCATGTCAAATATAATAGCGGAGCTCTCTGCAAGGGACAGAAGTAATTAAATGCCGGCCGTAGACGAGACGAAAATCGGCTGATTTTTTTTTACCCATGGTGGTAACGTCGGCCTATTGAACGACCGATTTTTTTTTTTTTTTTTTTAAACGGACGGTTTTGCGACCCGTCTATGGCCTGCATAAGACACTCTACAGATAGCTAAATACAGTGTAAACACCTCAGTACCTTAATATAATTTATGAAGCCAGTTTAACAAAGTAATCTTTAATAGAGGTACCAGTTTAATATCTAGATTTTAGGATGCTCCCTACAGTGGCACTCTTATACCGAATAGTAGAAGACAAACAGCCACAGGACTGCAGACAGTAAAAATGCACCTACCTTCTCATGTGACTTGTGCTGATAAAAGCAAGCACAGCGGACATAGAGAAGATCAGGTTGTACATACTGAAGCCCACGTAGAGAACAATATTCTCAAAAAGTTTAAAGAATAACCTTACCTTCCGAATAACTTGCTGCTGCTGGGAGTGTTTGGTACGCAGGTCATTTATTTCTCTCCACAAGGCTTCATTTTCTCTGCAAGAAAAATAGATAAATAAGTTGCTGGAATGACAAAAAAATAAATAAATACACAAGCTTTAAGAATTGAGTGTTTTCACATTATTGGACATATAACATTGATTGAAATGTAGAATAAGAAAATGCATTACATAAGCAGGCTGCTTGTTCTAACTGATGAGATCCTTACATTTGGGTTAGATCTCAGGACTGATACATACACTATATTGCCAAAAGTATTGGAACGACTGCTTTTAGATGATCTGTCGGGTCGAGGTCAGGATTCCACCCCAAACTCACTCATCCATGTCTTTATGGACCTTGTTTCGTGAACTGGTTGGCAGTCACCATCCCCAAATTGTGCCCACAAAGCTGGGAGTATGAAATTGTCCAAAATATCTTGGTAAGAATTTAGGATGAGTAGCCAATGCCGGTCGGATGTGGTACGTGAGGTAGAAGCACCTGTTCATATTTCAGTACTGTAAAATGTCAACCATTTATTAAATGGCCAAAAGTCCAGATGAAGCCTCACCCATTATCATTAAGCTCCATACATTTTCCCTACTGTATTGTAGCCAATACAAGAAGCTATTCCACACTAGGAATAAAGTATATGATTTGCTAATCATCATTCCTACCCTGAGAGGGAAGGAGCAACAATTCATACATTAGCAAGCATATAGGTTCATCCACTTTCACTTACTAGTTGGCAAGTTTCCAGCAGGATGGTTTCCACTGCTGCTACCAAACAGGGTTACTTTAGTGGGATAGGACAACTCATAATATGTGCTTACTTGAAACCACCACTATTTCAACATTTATAGTACTGAAGAAAATTAAAAATTAGGAAAAGTTAAGATGAGCAGCACATGCACAATTTTCTATAAATAGCACAGACTTATTATCAAAACATATACCTTTTTAATGTAAACAGTCGTGAATCAATAGTTTCTTGTTTCATCTGAACTTTTTGAGCACTGTTCAAAATTTTAGATATATCTTCCTGTCTCACTTTAGCTTCTTCAGGTCTTGTGGAGGATACCTGGTGTAAAAAAAAAAAAAAAAAAAAAAAACCCACACACATGATCAAAATTATACAAGAAGCAAGCAACCAAGCCCCTATGATTATTAAAAATGTTTGTGTGAAATCTTACTATTTTTATTTCTAGTGAACATGTACTGGTAACAAAACTTATCAGATAAACTAAGCTATAACTAGTAGGTGCCACTCGTACCTCATCATGCCTCTATTCCAAGAAATCTTTCTCTGCCAATGCCCCTGACTTTGCAGAAGCTCCTACAGAAATGGCAACTTTCTAAAGACCAGTATTTGTATGAAAATTAAACAGAACCTCCACTCTGTCTTTTTGTGGAAAAAAAATGCAGCCTTAAAGCTGAACTTGGAGTTCAGAAAGGCTTTCTGGACATTTGCTACGTGTAAACAACTTACCTGTAATAATTCACAACACGTGATACCCAGGATGATTGAAACTAAAAGTTTTACCAAATGGAGCACCATCTACACATGGATATCTATCATTACAGGCCATTTTTTAAAATATAACAAATGATCAAAATATTTTTTTAACAGAGAAATCAGCTTTTAGAATAATTTCCTATTAAATTCCTATGAAAAACATTAGCAGCCAAGTGGGAACCCTGTCCTCAACAATACTCAAGCCTAGAGAACTGCTCAGACACAGTCCTTTGTGGGAAGGTGGAGGCACACATACAATCTTTATAGCACAAAAAGTACAGTGCATATAAAAAGTCTACACACCCCTATTAAAATGTCAGTTTTCTGTGATGTAAAAAAAAAATTAGAAAGATAAATCATTTCAGAACTTTTTCCACCTTTAATGTGACCTATAAACTGTACAACTCAATTGAATAACAGAAATTGTGCGTGTGTGTACACACCTGCCATCATTTAAAGTGCTTCTGATTAATAAAGTTCAGCTGTTCTAGTTGGTCTTTCCTGACATTTTCTTAGTCGTATCCTTCAGCAAAAGCCATGGTCCACAGAGAGCTTCAAAAGCATCAGAGGGATATCATTGTTAAAAAGGTATCAGCCAGGGAACGGGTACAAAAGAATGTCCAAGGCATTAGATATACCATGGAACACAGTGAAGACAGTCATCATCAAGAGGAGAAAATATGGCGCAACAGTGACATTACCAAGAACTGGACGTCCTTCCAAAATTGATGAAAAGACGAGAAAAAAACTGGTCTGGGAGGCTGCCAAGAGGCCTACAGTAACATTAAAGGAGCTGCAGGAAAAACTGGCAAGTACTGGCTGTGTGGTACATGTGACAACAATACCCCGTATTCTTCATATGTCTGGGCTATGGGGTAGAATGGCAAGATGTAAGCCTTTTCTTGCGAAGAAAAACATCCAAGCCTGGCTACATTTTGCAAAAACACATCTGAAGGCTCCCAAAAGCATGTGGGAAAATGTGTTATGGTCTGATGAAACCAAGGTTGAACTTTTCCAAAAGATATGTTTGGCGCAAAATCAACAATGTACATCACCAAAAGAACACCATACCCACAGTGAAGCATGGTGGTGGCAGCATCATGCTTTGAGGCTGTTTTTCTTCAGCTGGAACTGGGGCCTTAGTCAAGGTAGAGGGAATTATGAACAGTTCCAAATACCAGTCAATATTGGCACAAAACCTTCAGGCTTCTGCTAGAAAGCTGAACATGAAGAGGAACTTCATCTTTCAGCATGACAACGACCCAAAGTATACATCCAAATCAACAAAGGAATGGTTTCAGCAGATGAAGATGGAAGTTTTGGAATGTCCCAGCCAGAGCCCAGACCTGATCTCCAATCGGAAATCTGTCGGGTGAACTGAAGAGGGTTGTGCACAGATGCCCTCGCAATCTGACAGATTTGGAGTATTTCTGCAAGGAAGAGTGGACAAACATTGCCAGGTCAAGATGTGCCATGCTGATAGACTCATACCCAAAAAGACTGAATGCTGTAAAAAAATCAAAAGGTGCTTCAACAAAGTATTAGTTTAAGGGTGTGCACACTTATGCAATCATGTTATTTTCGTTTTTATTTTTACTTCCCTCCACCTAAAAGATTTCAGTTTGTTGTTCAACTGAGTTGTACAGTTTATAGGTTACATTAAAAAAGGTGGAAAAAGTTCTGAAAGGATTAATCTTTGTCTCATTTATTTACAACACAGAAACCTGACATTTTAACAGGGGTGTGTGTAGATTTCTTATATCCACTGTAGTAGCGGCAGCAGGGAAAGACATTTTGTTAATCTTGTGGTGTCTAGTGTTTTCTAGTCTGGTAAGTTTTACTTTAAACAAGGATTCCCATTACCTTTCTTTTGATATTCTCCAGTAACTCATCTTGCCCTTGAATGAAGAATGGATGCTGAAATTCAACAGGTCCATCTCTCTCCTGCTTCACAATTCCAGAGTCAACATGGACCACCTTTCTGAAACCATCTTAAAGCACAACAAAACTGCTGTAGTTAGACACTATACCACATGCCATTTCCCTATAATCTCATATTGTAAAATCAAGGTAACATTTATAACCTCTATCAATACATCTGCTTACCTAAACTGGACACCACTACCATAAATGAGTGTTTAGGGTCAGTCAAAAAAGGACAAAACTCTTGCTTGTAAAAAGGTGAACAGCTTTCTTCTTTTAAAAAATGAAAAAGAAAGCCTTTCCCAGCTAATCCTGAGTGAGTGGCACTTTAGGGCCTTGCTTATACCAAAAAGCCATGCTAAATGCATGGCCACTGGCGTGCACTGGAAGGAAGAGTTCCAATGCACTGATCCTGGAGCATCGCACTGTATACAAACTTTGCAGCCCTGTAATGTAATTGTTTGCATCACATTTTGTGCTGAAAAAAAATAATTCATGCAGTATTTTATTCAACGCACCCCACTAATGCTGTGGCATGAACGGACGTCATAGGAAACAAGGCAAAGTGCCTTGACTCTGCGTTGGAACTGCACAGCACAAAGCTTGCTCACACAGCTCAAAACACAAATGGTGTGAACAGGCCCTTAAAAAGGAGAAGTACAGCCAAAACTATTTGGGCTATATTTCTCCTGTAGGTCACAGGAGTACAGTTCATTCTGCACTCCTATGACCTGCTTTCAGCCCACAGTGGGCTAAAGTCCGCTGTTGGCTGATATCACTCAGCCGGTCCATGCTCTGAGAATATCCCGACCATATGGTCAGGATCCACCCAGAAGCCTGGACCAGCACCTGGCTCACCCTCTCAGCGATCCGCTGAGAGCCTGAGCCAGTCCCAACCCCTCCACAGCTTAGTGCAGAGCAGACAGCTAGAAACAGACAGTCCCATTTGATCGCTTAGTTCTCACTGCAGAGCTGGCAGGGACAGATGCAGCACCGGATGAATGCTGCATCCACCTAAGGATATATTCACACTTGAGCGTTTTGTAGCTTGAAGCGCCAAAAAAAAAAATTAAAAAATCAGTTCTCTATGGTGCCTGTTTGCACAATCAGGTGTGAACAAGCACCATAAAGAACAATTGATTTTTTTAAGTTTGAGCTTTTTTGGAGCTTCAAGCTACAAAACGCTCAAGTGTGAATGCAGCCTAAAGGAAAATAAATTTTTTTTTTTATTTTAAGTCAAGTCCAAAACTTCTCTTTTAAAGGGTAGACTGTAAAGTGTAGAAAATCATATCACTTAGGAACATGGTATCAGCAACTTTCAGACTGCGTGGGGAAGAGACAAGAATCTACTTTATACATCTTTCTAGGACTGATGTCACTCAATCTGCATCCATTCGATTGAGGTTCACTTTAATTAATAGCAGTTTCACACTAGCAGCGAAAAGATGCACAAAACATTAACCTGTCTTAAACAAAAGCAATATCAATTTTATATGATTGATGCATGCATACCAGTCTTTAACTTTACTTACACATGTTTAGTTGCCTCACAAAGCTGGCCATGTTATTGTGTTTGAAGTACTTGGGCAGGATCTCTTTTGCAAATCGTTGTTCATCAAGCACCAAGAAACTCTGACCATTCTAAATAAATAAAATTAATAAGCTTACAAAAAGCACAGAAAATAGAAAAGTTTAGAGGATCACTAGGCAAATTTACCAATGCTGGCCCCTGCATCAATGCAAAGGTGTGCTTCACAATAACATTAAACACTTCTCGATCACCAGGCCATTTATTTTCTCAGATTTAGTGAAACCTGGACATGATCTGTGACAGCCTTCTCAGTGGCTTTAACATTACCAGATCCACGTGGACATATTAAAGGACCACTGAGAGCCCAGGGTGGTGAGAGGTCCTTCATTCTCTTAAAGCACTACACAAAAATATAATAATAATAGGCATGTAGCTAAAAATCAATACAAATGAGACGTTTTAAATTAAAGGCTTATTTCCATCAGAAAACATTCATGTTGTGTGTACACTCGCGTGCCTTTTTGTAGCAAGTTGTGCTGTGTGGTGGTTTACATGTATTGCAGTGTGTATTTTTCAACATTTTGTGACGTACATTGCAACAAGATGTTTTTTTCTGCATTCTGCATTTTTTAAGCCATTGGATTTTAGCTGCATTGAATAAAATGCTTTTAACACACTTTTTTCTAGTGCTCTAGTTTCCTCCCACAATCCAAGAACAAAATTTAAAATAGACCTGAACTTAATGTCCAAATCTTTGAAAAATAAAAATCCTCCCACGCAGTCAGGCTGCACCCACACTGCAAGGGTTAACTGCCAAGATTTGTCTTTTACTTAACCAATCTCCCCCATCTGATGACTATGGGCCCTGCATCTGTCCAGCTTTAGGTAATAATAAAGGGTGGACAGGCAGGATTTTTTATACAGAAGAAACATGCTTTGCCTCTTCTATAGTAAAGCTACCTACCTGCCTGTCTACCCCTGTAGAGTGAGCCATGCAGCTCACTGCACAAACTAAGCAATGCCCGATTTGAAAGAACTCCTGTTCATGTGCGGGAATTACGTCATCCCAGCCCAGCCAATGGCAGTAAAGATGTGTGTGTCCAGGCAGTGAGCTCAGGGACAGCGCATCGCAGGACTGGAGGTGAATACAGCTCCACTTTAAGGGCCCGTTCACACTTGAACAATTTCTAACTCTTGCCAAACGCCCCTATAGCGTTTGACATGCATTTGGGAAGCGTTTTTAATGCTCCCAAAATGCCCTAAGCACGTTTTTGAAGTGTTTGATAGGTGTTTTCCAAGCATTAAAACCGCACCACAAATGCCTATAATGGAGTTTAATGATATTAATGCCCCACAAACTCCTGCCAGGTGGTGTTTGATGAGCGTCACCATAGACTTGAATGGGTGGCTTCAACTCCTCACTCTTCATGAGGCGTCAATTTTGCTGTGACACGACGCTAATGCTTCAGTGTGAACAGCACTGTGTGCTGCCATGTGTAGAATTTTCATAGGCATTTGAAGAGTGTTAAAAACGTTTCCCAAACGCCTACTAACAAAGCTAGTGTGAACGTAGCCTAACAATCTGCTTTCGGACCCCAACATATTAACTGTGGGCAGCTGGTTGTGACTGCTTGGGGCTTCACAGCCGGCTGCCCACTGCACATGCACAAGCAGCTCTGCGCATTGTGAATGGTCCCGAAGCTTTATGGGACCTGTCCAGAAAGCTGCAGGGGAAAAGGGGGGGGGGGGGGCGCGAACTTCCACTTGGCTCACCTAGGCAATCATAGCAGAAAGTGGAGAGTACCTGTCAAAATCAGGAACCCGCTCCCCCCACCAAAAAAATAGATCAGAAATACTGAGACCAGCCCGTCTGGCAACGGCAACCTTGCCACATTCAAAGTCACTTAAATTCCCCTTTCTTCCCCATTCTGATGCTCGGTGTGAACTTCAGCAAGTCGTCTTCACCATGTCTAGATGCCTAAATGCATATTTTTCTTCCATTAAATAAAACAATGGATGAAAAACGGATGTAAACTGACAAACTGATGTAAACAGACAAAAAACAGACACCCATGTATTTCTATGGACTAGCGGATGGTAACAGATGATCATCTGTTTATATCCTTTAACCCCTCTGGCGGTTTTCCCGAGTGTAGCTCGGGGTTACGTTTCAGTACCAGAAGCGGTAACCCTGAGCTACATTCGAGATTACACTGCAGTGTTGCTCTGGGATCCCTAAATCACTTACCTTGTCCCACCCTGTCCTCCGGCCGATGCCGGCATCCATCTTCCGTGTTCCATTCCCTGCGAGCATCGGGACGTACAAGGGACAGAACCGGCAGGAGATTCAAAAATGTCAAAATTTTACATACACATAATACACTAAAATCTGATCTTATTACATTACTGTATCAAAGCATTTCACATACATTTTGTCCCTAGTGCTTTGTCCTGTGCCCTGCCTGCATTTTTACTGTTCTTTCTGCCTGGAAACTGAGAAACATCCATGGCGTCCAAAAAGCATCCCTTTAGGTCAAAAGCAGTTTTAGACCAGCTAGAGAACAGCGATAGTAAATTAGAACCACTTGCAGAACTGAGTGATGATTTGTGGGGAAATTCGTCATCAGACACTGAAAACTATTTTTAAACTGAGCTCAGTGATGTGCAAACTTGGTACTCTATTTCAAATTTCAGTGTTTTTGGTTTGATTATATTATTGAATTAAATGTATTAATTTTTATGATTATTATAATTTATGATTTCGTGTTTCAAGTTTTATCATACCCGGGATGTTTACTAGACTCTTGTGCGGACAGATTTCAGTGAGTTATTCATAAGAATTACAGGCCTACAATATAAAACATATTTCCCTTGAAAACAATGGACCGCTTTGAGCACAGAAATATTGACATAATCAGACCGCTAGGGAGGTTAATGTCCGCATTCGTTAACATCTGTTTTATTTTTTTTTTAACAGAAGAAAACCATATTTTTCTTCCGTTAAATGAAGCAGAACGGATGAAAAACGGATGTAAACTGACAAACTAATGTAAACAGACAAAAAACGGACACCCATGTATTTCTATGGACTATCGGATGGAAACAGATGATCATCTGTTTACATCCGTTAATGTTCGCATCCTTTTTTTTTTAAATCGCAAGAAAACCTGTTTTTTTTAATGGAAGAATAATATGGACAGAATAAAAACAGATGTAAATTGAAAAACAGATATAAATGGACCAAAAAAACGGACAACCCATGTATTTCTATGGGCTAGCAGATGGAAACGGATGATCATCTGTTTACATCCGTTAATGTCCACACCTGTTTTTTTTTTTTTTTAACCACAAGCCTACAGAGCACTTATACCCCCTTCCGGCCCAGGCCAATTTCCAGCTTTCAGCGCTGTCACACTTTGAATGACAATTGCAGTCATGCAACACTGGACCCATATGACATTTTTATCATTTTTTTGTGACAGAGCTTTATTTTGGTGGCATTTAATCACCTCTGGGTTTTTTTTTTTTCTTAAGCCAAAAACGACTGAAAATTTTGAAAAAAAACCCCCTTTTTTCTTAATTTTTGTTATACAATTTTGTAAATAAGTGGTTTTTCTCCTTCACTGATATGCGCTAATGAGGCTGCAGTGATGGACACTGAGGAGGAGGCACTGATGGGCATTGACAGGCATCACTGATGGGCACTGAAAGGCAGCACTGACTGGCACTGATGGGTGACATTGAAAGGCAGCTCAGATGGGCACTGATGAGGAGGCACTGGTAGGTGGCACTGATGGGCATTGACAGGCATCACTGATGGGCACTGAAAGGCAGCACTGATACATAGCACTGACTGGCAGCACTGATAGGCATTGATAGGTGGCACTGATGGCAGCTCAGATGAGCACTGATATGTGGCATTGATGTGCACTGGTAGGCACTGATATGGGGCATTGATGTGGCACTGGCACGAGGCACTGACACAAGGAACTGATGGGACACTGACAGGTAGCACTGCAGGGGCTACACTGATCATCAAGGCACACTGATTATCAGTGCCCTGATGATCAGTGTACATGTCCCCTCCGTGGAAAGCCGATTACCGGCTCTCCTCTCGAGCTGTCAGCGCGACAGCTCGAGAGGAGAGAAATGCCGATAACCGGCACTTCCCTGTTTACATGTGATCAGCTGTGATTGGACACAGCTGATCACATGACTGAGCCGACATCTTCGGCTCTTTCCGTGGATCGGTGATCCGCTGTGTCCGAGGGACACAGCACTCCGTCAATCGCCGCGCGCTCCCTGAGCCGCGCATGAGCGGTAAGAATGGGGGGACGTCATATGACGTCCTCCCAGAACAAGAGAATCACCTTGCATCCATCATATCACTATATGGCGGGCAGGAGGTGGTTAAAGGAAGAAAAACATATTTTTCTTCCGTTAAAAAAGAAAAAAAAAAAGAACAGATGAAAAACGGATGTAAACAGACAAAAACAGATGGAAACCTGATGTAAACGGACAGAAAAACTGATCCATTTTTACTTGCGAAAAATTATGACTGAAGTGATGAAAAAACGGAACCCCCGTGTGAGAGGGGCCTTAAGTGTACAGGCATCATTCAAGGCATGCCATATTTTGGGAACAGTTAGATCAGTGGGTTTAGCTCCTCTGAGAGGATTAGATACCAGTCACGATGCCTACATATCTCAGGGTCAGATGGTCTCCTAAAACTGCCCAGTGACACAGATGAGAAGCATGAGGACAATGAAGGAGAGTCCAGGGTGAGGCTGGGCCAGCTGTAGAACGAATGTCTATCGCACGTGTCAGTGACCTACTCCCACCTAACCCCGAGGGAAGGAGGAGAACCCGGGCAGGCAGCGTGTGGAGAAGGCTTGGTAGTAGGTGGCATCATGTCTGCACCTGGGCCTGCTGCCACAAGATGGAATCCGTGCCCATGAGCGCACAGGGCGGTTACCTGACTCCATGTGATAAACTCGTTCGTGTCCGAGTCCTCCACCAACGTCCACAGCTTACTCAGGAACGCCGGTACGTTAGAATTCTGCTTCATTGTCCCGAGCAACAACGACCAATACAAAGTACAATCTGGCCTCACACGGCTAGACTGAGCTACTGCGCATGCGCCAACTGAACTCCCTCACCTACGCTCCGCCACACCACGCCCCCCTGAGTCTGACGCTACTGTGTTGTACTGGACGAAGAGACGGGACTGCGGCTCCTCCTTACATAACGGATACAACCTCACGTGCTGGCACAGGTGGGGGAGGGTGCGCTGGAAGGCTGCCAGAGATGATTGGCCGCTAGGATGGATGCCGAGTAAGTCGCTGACCAGTTACATGGCTCAGACACATGGGACGTTTAAGCGTCCAGCCAGTAACTGAGAGCCCGTACATGTCATGGTGGACCCAGCGGCGGGTAATAGACTATTTTTAGCGGCTAATAGCAACTGTGGAGGTGGGACTGATAGTACCAAGCAGGACCAATGGGGCTACTATAGTAAAAGAGTTTTCATTTCATCAAATGTCATTAACCTCTTGAGGACCAGCTCCGGAAGATTTTTACCCCCTTTGTGACCACGCCATTTTTGCTATTCAACACTGCGGTACTTTGGCAATTATGCAGTCATGCAGCACTGTAAAAAAAATTAAATTGATATCGTTTTTCCACCCCACTTGAGCTTTCTTTTGGCTGTACTTTATCACCACTGGGTTTTTTTTTCATTTTATATAAGAAAAGACTGAAAATTTTCAAAAAACACTAATTTATTTACTTTCTGCATTAAAATACATCCAGTAAAAAAATGTTTAAACAAATGAAAGCCAAAATGTATCCTGCTACATGTCTTTGATTAAAAAGAAATATAGCGATAAGTTTATATTGATTGGTTTGCATGAAAGTTAAAGCGCCTACAGAAGATGCTATACAACGGGTAAAATAAGTATTGACCACGTCACCATTTTTCTCAGTAAATATATTGTTAAAGGTGCTAGTGACATGAAATTGTCGGACACAACCCATGCAATCCAGACATACAAAAAAAACAAATAAGTTCAGAAATTATGTATAATAAAATGGAATGCACAGGGAAAAACAACTGAACACATAAAGAAAGGGAGGTGCAAAAAGCCATAGAAAGCCAAGAGCCCAGCTGAAATCTTTAAGTAATTAGAAAGCAATCCAGGCCCTTGTCAGTAAAAAAAATTAATATCAACTGGTTCCATCTCAACCTGTAAAAAGGTGTCTCGTTACCAAGGTGTCATCTCATGATGGGTAAACACAAAGAGCTCTCTCTCAAGACCTTTACAACACATACTAATGGCATTGGTTACAGACTTCTAAATGTTCCAGTGAGCACTGTTGGGGCCATAATCCAGAAGTGGAAAGAACATCATTTCACCATAAACCGACCACAACCAGGAGCTCCTCGCAAGATTTCTGACAAAAGAGTGAAAAGAATTATCAGAAGAGTTGTCCAAGAGCCAAGGACCACTTGTGGAGACCATCAGAAAGACCAGACATTAGAAGCTACAATTGTTTCAAATAAAACAATAAGTAATGCACTCAACCGCCATGGCCTGTATGCACGCTCACCACGCAAGACTCCATTGCTGAAGAAAAATCATCTTGAAGCTTGTTTACAGGTTGTTGCACAACATTTAGACAAGCCTGTGAAATACTGGGAGATTATAGTCTGGTCAGATGAGACCAAAAATGAACTCTTTGGATGCCATAATACACACCATGTTTGGAGGTCAAATGGCACTGCACATCACACCAAAAACAACACCACACCAACAGTGACGCATGGAGGTGGGAACATCATGATGTGGGACTGTTTTTCAGCATACGGTACTGGCAAGCATCATATCATTGAAGGAAGGGTGAATGGAAAAATGTACCAAGACATTCTTGATAAAAATCTGCTGCCAACTACTAGGATGATGAAGATGAAAGGAGGGTAGACATTTCAGCAAGACAATGATCCCAAAACACAAAGCCAAGGAAACTCTCAATTGGTTTCAAAGAAAAAAAAATAAAGCTGCTAGAATGGCCCAGCCAATCACCTGACTTAAATCCAATAGAAACATCTATGGAAAAAACTAAAGATTAGAGTTCATAGGCCCACAGAACAGTCAAGATTTGAAGGTTGTGGAAGAATTGACCAAAATCACACTTGAGCAATGCATGCGACTAGTTTCTCCATACAGATTGCGTCTTGAAGCTGTCATTACCAAGGATTTTGTATGAAGTATTAAATTTCAGTTAGCGTATTCAATACTTTTTCCTTGTGTCATTTGTGATATTCTGGGGGATTCTGCTCACACTGGTGCCATGTAAATTCCAGGTCCATCTATTTTTCCATATAACAATAACAGCTTTCTGGCAGCAAAAATAAAACTGTGCAACAGCGGGGTGATAGTCCTTCAGCCTCTACAGGGGCTCAAACACAAGTCTGTGCAGACAAAAAAACAGTCATTAACTCAAAATAATCTTCAGTGCTTAACGCCATCCACAGAATAGAATAGGTCACTCCATGGAACTGTCACTAAAAGGCTTGCCTTTCTCTGAGGGTCAAACACAGCACATAGCAACTCCAGCAAAAATGGCTCAGCAGTTTAGAGCAGACACTTTTTCAGCCACGTGTCTTCCCACACACAGCCCCCCCCCGCTAGGTGAGGGCTATGTCCCGTAACACACCTCATCTCCCAGAGGCCATTAACCCTTCGGATCCTGGGGTTAGAAGTTGGAGACTCATCCATCCTATTAAAGTATGGAAAAAAATGTAGCGCTACTCGCTTGTGTTCATATAAACAAGTGAACAGAATAAACACCTAGTAAAAAAAATATCAAATAAGTGAAAAAATGTGTCCACTTAGGTGAAATCATGCACAAAACTAATACAATAATGTGAATGGATCTAAACTCCAATAGTGATGGTGGGAAACAAACCTTTCCAACTGAAAAAATGACTGAAAACAATACGTGCTTCTAAAAGTGTATATATACATATATATATATATATATATATATACACACATATACATATGAAAAGTGTGCATTAACACATATATATACCTATACATACCCCATACAGTAAATAAATCAAAACAATGTGCATATATGTGAACTCAATAGGTGCAATTGCACACAAACAAAGTATATTTCTGTGCATATAAAGTCCAAACAGAGAATGATCACACTCAGGTGAACAAAAAACACACTCGTGCTGATATTTGTGTTCAAAAGTGGGTTGATAGTTGGGCAGAAGATCATCCGACCACCGGCTGAATCAGCCTCTCTTAAAGACTCAACCCTTGCGAGTCAAAACGTTTAGTAGGATCCTTCTCACAGATCCTCCAGGTCAGTATCACTCCAAACGACTGCTCCCACTGTATATAAATCTCCCTCTAGGGATCAGCACTTCAATAATGGCTCCTTCTCCAGGCAGGATCAAATGCTGCGCTAAGCAATCAAAATAGTAGAAATCAGGGCTCCAACCACATGCTTTTGGATGTAATAAATATGCATGGGTGTACAAGGGTGTACAAAAGTGTACCAAGATGGCCGCCACGCCAAAAGTGCGTCACTACGTTGGGCCGACGCGTTGCGTCACAATACCATGTGACTTCCTCAGGGCTCCATACTTTAATTCTGAAGATCATTGGTATATGATTTAATGTTAGCAGCTTCTCGGTATTATTTATGTTGGGATTTATCCTGAGCGCAGGAGATTCACACCATTATTGTTATACTTACTACCATTTCATCCATCCTATTGACTCTTAGGGCTCATGTACATGGAACATTGGAGAACACTTCTGAACTCTGGAAATTGACAGCAGGAAAATGCAGGTTAAAAACGTTAGTTTTGTCGTGTTTAGGTTCAGAAGCGTTTTTTAAAGATAAGCACAGGAGAACCTCCCAAATGCCCAGAATGCACTAAAAAGTGGTAAATTATTAACTATTTCAGACTGTTTCAGAGAAATACACACAGTAGAAGCAGACATAGAAGTATGTGTTGAGATAATTAGGTGGGAGTTGCTCATTAACATTTCTTTTGTTTCCAAGGGGGGGAAGGTGTCTGGTGGAGTGAGTCATTAAGGTCACCTGGCACAGGGTCTTCATAAGGAATTTGAGGTGTGAATGGACATTAACATATCTGCTGTTTCCAAGGGTGGGAGAGGTCTCAGGTGTGAATTGGTCATTACAATGTGTGACTAACTTGGTAGGAACATCCTGTTAAGTGTTTTGTCCATCTGAGCACCTTGAAAACTCTTTGCATGCATTTTTCATGCTGAAAAAAGGCTCTGGACAGCATTGGGAACTGGAAGAGTAAAAAAAAAATTGCAAATGCTTATAAACGTGATTTGCCACGTTCGGCGTTTGAAACGCTGAAAGAATCAACGTCTGAACGCAAGTTTGTTGCGTTCAAAAAAAACAGATTTTTGGAGAGGGGATACGATGAGTCTATGTTAGATTGCACCTAAAAACAGTGGCTAATATTGATAGAGACGCAATACTGGATAATGTAAAGGGACAGACTAAAACATTTAATGTGAAAATGGCTTAATGTAGCTTAACATACCATAATGTGCCTAAATCTCAATCAATTGACTTCAAACTTCGCACAGCCCTAGTTCTCAATGTCCCAAACATGTCCTGGAAGTTTCATAGATTTCTGCCTTCCACAAAGAAAATGGGGGACATTAAGCTTGTTTTTTGGGGAGCTTAATGTAGCTTAATGTACAAAAAAGAGCTTAGATGTTGACCAATTTCCCCCAAACTTCACACAATACAAGACTCTATCTATGTCAACGTATTCTGAAAATTTCAGGTCATTTGGTAAATCATACCAAAAGTTATTCACATTAAGCTATATTTTACAGTGCTAAAACATTTAATGTGAAGAGCTTAATGTAAAAAGAGCTTAACGTACCATAATGTGCCTAAACCTCAATCAATTTACTTGAAACTTTGCACAGCCCAAGTTCTCCACATCCCAAACATGTCCTAGAAGTTTCATAGATTTTGAACATCCACAAAGAAAATGGGGGACATTAAGGTTGTTTTTTGGGGGGCTTAATGTGGC